TTATTAGCCCATTTCTGATATCAGAAAAAATCTGATTTAAATTGAATTCATCGCACAGGTGTTCTGGAACTAATTAGATTAAAACCATGGATGCATTTTCTGTATGCATTATAAATTTTGATAATGTGAATTACATTTTTTTCATGTTATACATCTCAAATATATAGCAGACAGAAATAAGTTGCCAAGCTTCTTGTTTGAAAAAGAAAATCTTAAATTTTGAATTAATTTTAAAGTGTCTCTAATACTCTCAGCACACAGGAGTTCTTGCTAGCCTTCTTTGATTGATTATATGCATGGTGTTACTCCACCAGGGCATTGGCAATTCCTTTGTATTGTTTCAGGATTACTGAATGCAAACTTTGACATATTTACAAAAACATAGAATACACACAAGCCATAAACTAACAATTGATTCAGGAATAAATTTTGGAGAACAATCATAAAGTTTGCTTGATTTTCATTCACATTGACGCCATGATACCACATTTGGTAAGGGATGATACCATGACACGTCTTCAGAATAATGTTTCATACATATTGAATACATTAGTATTTAACTGTGTGGCAATGTGGGATATCAGTGTTTCACAGTGATAGTATGCCATTATGAATTACAGCAACATTTTATATGCTTGGGCTTGTAATTATGTCAATATGTCACCTACTTGTACCCAAGTTATAAGTTGAGTTTGTAGGCTATTTCTACTTTCCTAACATGTGTATGACAAAATCAACATTGTCATGGTATAATGAAATATAAAACATTGTTTTGTAGATATAGCTAGAGGGTACATTACATTGTAGGGTCAACATTTAGTTTAATAAAAAAAATAAAAATGTTAGCACGCTTTGATTACAAATGCACAGTTGTGTTATTATATACATGTAATCAATCCTGCCCAGGATCTTAAAGTAGAAATTACAAGTCAGCAATAAGTAAAATGAGGCTTTGTTGGGTGTTGCATTGATCACCAGAACCCATCACTAGTTATTCTTATAGTAACTGGGAATGAGATTTACAGTGTTGTGGATGTCTGTAGAGTTTCCACAAATCTTTGAATAACATACTCCGACCAGTAGAATTTAGGGGAGTACTTCAAAGTAAAGCTCAGTTTAATGTTTGTTTGTCTTTCGTAATTTATGCTCCAACTGTGAGTTATTCTATATAGTATGTAACTCTTGAGAGGAAATTCCAGTATTTATTGACGCAACAATTAAATGATGATTTTTAATGTAGTTCTTGGACTGGTAACATCAATACTACAAGTTCTTCAACCTTTGTCTACAAAGTTCAAAGTGATTTTGGACAGATATACATGTCCAGACATCAATCGTAACAAAGTAAAGTTCATTCAAGCCTTCTCTACATACCAGTTGCTATATGCCAGCCAATGGCCATTCGTTAATCACCTGTCATTATATGCTGCATTTAGTTTCGTGGTTACGCAACTACAAATTCGTGTGCTTTGTTTAATAATGTGCAATGACTGAATTTGATACTCCTAGATAATAAGACACCATGCCATCTAACCACATTGCGGAAATTGCAAATAGATTTTTATGATGGACCATTCATGTCTACTTAATCTATGAAAATGGCAAATCAGAGCATACTGTAACAACAATACACAAAATGGCACTTTTAATTACGTGCAACATACATAGTTTCAAAGTTTCCATGTCTTGTATTACAAGACATGACTAGCACCAAAGAGTTAACCTGTTATTATTACTGCGACATAAGCATTATGGATACTAATCAATCATTCACAGAAGTCAATATTTTATTTGATTAAACCACACAAACATTGACATATTGTGCGACGTCTATATTGTTTATTGAATTAATATATTGAGTTGCTTTGGCAACATCAGTAAAATGGCTCAGTTAAATTAAGTTTTCTGGAACAAATCAATAAATGTGCTTGTAATTTTATTCAACATAAAATGGCATATGATAATTGTGCGTATTATTATTGAGTTTACATATTAATTCTTGGAATATTATATATTTACACTGCCACTACATTCATTGTATGTTATGAAATACGTCATATCGATAAACAGTTAAGTGGTCAAAATAACTTATTTAAAAATCAACATTTCAACACTGTAAATATGAAATAATTCTACAGCGATAACAATAATACACTCAACATTATCACTAACCACATCACATATTACACTGTCCAACTGTGGAAATGGGAATATACATAATACATTTACAACCACTAAGTACAAAAACAATATTCCCCAAATTTGTAGAAATATAACAAGCATACACAGCTATGACTCATCCGAATTTTGTTTATCCAACTGGTTAAATCACATAATACATTGGAATTATTGTAATGTTTCCTTATTGATAAAACTACTATGTTGAATTGAACATTTTGTTTTGCCATATAAATAAACACACCAACTACCTATATATTCAACCACTTCTGTATTTACATTATTTTTGGTCAAATCATGTATTTAACCTCTATATTTCTGAAAATTGTATTGTTATTATTAAAATTATTAGGGTCATCCATTCAATTTGACGAACAGACGAAACATCTTCGTGTATATGACATAAGGACGAACAAATATGACATGATACGGTTGAAAAGGCATAACGTACACACTTCCAAAACGATTTAGTATATATTATATACAATTATATATAAATTTATGAAAACATCACAATATATGAGAATTGCAATAAATATGAAAACGCTATACGAGATTATTTCGATGTTACAGTATTGTAAATAAATAAATTGGGCAATGTTCGACACCAAACAGGCATTCCTGCCAATTTAAAGAACCCCTGACACACGCACACGAAAGATAAACTCTCTGAAATGTGATACGTTGCTAACGGCTACAATGGCTTCACTCAAATCGTTCCCTCCAAAATATTAGAACCATCGCTAATTGCTGTTTTGTTATTTTCAAACAAACAGACGTATTTACACCACTAAAAAAAAATAACGGCTTGGCAGGACATTGGAAACAGCTTGTTTTGGTATAACACTTGCCGTTTTCTATAAATAATATTCATGGCAATAAGAAATATGATCACGCCACAGTCAGCAGGCGTATACGTGATAATATAATAAATACGATTAATTTACCGATATTTACTTTATGACTATTTAGTTTCAAGCCCTTGTATACTAAATATCAGTAAATTAAATTTATTACCAGTTCTACATCTGCTGACTGTCGCATTACACCACAGCAGTCGGTCAGCTTTGCGCTTTATTGGTAGGCTTCATTTACGTAGGTTTGTAATCGTACGTGACTGCTTTTCTCGTCGTTTTCGCGATTTCCAATGATTCGTTCATCCTGTTTTCCGTCCGCCTCGAACTCTTTGTCGGAGGACACGGTGTTTTCTGTTGATAAGTTTTTTTTCTTCGATCGCGCTTCGATGTATAGTACCACAAGTCTGTATATCTGTAATGCGATTACTAACACGTTTTTGGTAGTAAACCAAAGCATCATCTGACTGACAGCATTCTTACCAAACAACAGATATAACCGCATTAAGAGAAAAGGTCCGTCTTGCATCATTATGGATATCATGATGGACCATACCTCAGTTTCACAGAACATGCACGCGTGATCACTATCATTGTTATGTTCCGCGTCTTCTGGTTTCACCACGTTCTGCACTTTCAAACCAGAAACCCTCGGCTTTCTAGCTTTTGTGGCTGTCAGAACTAGAGTGAACTGTAGGAGGCTCCAGGTCCAAATCATCAATATGCACAAGACGAGAACTCTGTCGCACTTAACGCTATTCTCCTCGATGCTTTCTGATGAAAATTCCAATATATCAGCAGCCATCCCAAGATAAACCAATAGGAGTTGTGATAACTGGTCACGTGTTATTTCGCCCATTGGTAGTAACCATCTTCCCAAAATAATGAGGCACATCAACAATTGTTGCAAAGCCAGAATCCAACTGTCATCAGATAGCGTTACTGGTATAGTTATCTGGACAATTAAATAATAAATAAATAACATAAGTACGTTAATGAGTACAACTATGATAAATTAGTAGGTAGGTAATAACCCATGAACACAACTCTAATGCAATATATCATTATCACAATTCAAATGTTGAATATGTATTCTAAAATACTACATGTGAACGTGTGTTTTTATTAAGAAACAATTAAGACGTGTGTTCGTCTATCGGACAATTCCGGTGATGTTTCACTAACTTGAATTATGTGGCAATATTCATACTATTATTATAGTATTATGTAGTTAAATTGTAGTGGACCGCCATCCAAAACACACCTCCCTTCGGAAACCAGAACACCGTCAACATTCGGTTTAATTAAATACAGCCATTATATTGTATGTGGCTGTATTTAATAAAACTACTAAATAAACGTATTGTATGCACGGCCTGAATGTTTAATTGAATATCGTTTACTTAAGTCAATTTGTCTAATGGAAAGTAGTTCTATACGCGACTTGTCAAATGCAATAAGATATATGTGTAAACAGTGAAATGGTAATTTAAAGTAAATGTAAATATTCACATTACTGGTGCACAGTGTATTTACCGTACGTAAATTAGCTTCACAAGTGTCATGGCCTTCTAGAAATCAGAACTATGTTTTTTTTATTATTTACTGGACGATATTAGAATATGCTTTAAATTATGGATCATGATCACAGTTACAAATTACCTATTTTTGGTCTTTTTATACCGGTTTATTACTGATTAGTGTAGTTTAAAAACCTTTACCAAATACTCGATA